GAATGCATTTTTTTTATTACCCGACCCACCCGATCCGTGGATTATTTGCAGCGCCCGCGGATATAACCGCCATCCGTGCATCACTACCATCCGGGGAACTACGAGTACCTGGTAATGCCGTATGGCCTTTCAAACTCACCATCCATCTTCCAAAACTTCATGAATGAGATCTTCTGTTATATGCTCAACCAATTCGTAATTATCTACATCGACGACATTCTCATTTACTCACTCAATCTTAAGGAACACCAACAACATGTTTCCCAGGTACTCCAATGTCTCCGCGAGCATCACCTCTACCTCAAGGAAGAAAAGTGTGAGTTCCATCAAACCACCATTAAATTCCTGGGCTACATTATCACACCAGAGGGAGTCCAAATGGACCAGAACAAGGTGGAAGCAGTGAGGAATTGGCCACAACCCACCACGGTCAAAAAGCTACATAGATTCTTGGGATTCACAAACTTCTATTGGCGCTTCATAGCCCATTATAGTCAATGGTCGGCTCTACTTACCTCTCTCCTCCGTCAGAAACCAAAGACCCTCTCCTGGAACCCTGAAGCCACACAGGCATTCCTGCAGCTCAAATCCTCCTTCTGCACCGCTCCAGCCCTAACCCATCCAGATCCGAGCCATGAGTTTGTGGTGGAAGTGGATGCTTCCACTCTGGGAGTAGGTGCAGTATTACCCCAATGGAAGGGTGAACCCCCGTACTCCATCCATGTGCGTACTTCTCCAAGAAAATGTCCCCAGCAGAGCAAAATTATGACATCGGGAACCACGAGTTACTGGCCATCAAACTCGCGCTGGAAGAGAGGCGGCACTGGTTGGAAGGGGTCCACATCCCTTCGAAGTCATAACTGATCACAAGAACCTCCAATACCTCTGTGAAGCGATATGTCTCAATCCCGACAAGCCCGATGGGCCTTATTCTTCACCCGTTTCCAGTTCACAGTAACCTACTGTCCTGGGCATAAGAACCTCAAAGCAGATGCTTTTTCACGACTACACCAACCAGATCCATCTCCAGATAACCGGAAACCCATTCTCTCACCCACTGTGCTCGCATGTCCAATCACCTGGGAAGTGAATGATCAAATTTGTGCCGCCACTCTCACAGAACCTGCTCTGCCGGGAGGTCCGGAAGGGAGACTTTATGTACCTACCACTCTACGTCTTACCCTTCTGTCACCCAGGCAGCCAATGAACCCTCTCGCTCCTCTGGAACAGATACTGGTGGCCCAGCATGGCTCAGGATGTCGCCTGCTACATCAAGGGTTGTTCGGTCTGCGCCATCACATCCACTCCACGCCGTTTACCTGCAGGAAAACTGGTTCCCTTACCTATTCCACGTCGACCCTGGTCCCACAATGGAATCGATTGCGCCACTGATCTTCCACCCTCTAACGGATTCACTACCATATTTGTCATGGTGGACAGATTCTCCAAAACCTGTAAATGAATCCCCTTACGTGGATTACCCACTGCTTTGGAGGCAGCCGAAGCGTTCTTCCAGCATGTCTTTCGACACTTTGGTCTCCCTGAAGATATCGTTTCAGATAGAGGGCCGCAGTTCATATCCAGGGTCTGGCGTGGTTTCTTCCATCAGCTGGGAGTGACTGTCAGCCTTTCCTCAGGTTATCATCCCCAAACCAACGGCCAGACTGAACGCAAGATCAAGGAGATCGGGCGGTATCTCCGAGCCTACTGTCATGAACACCAAGACAGCTGGAGCCAGTAACTTCCCTGGGCCGAGTATGCTCAGAACTCGTTGCGACAGAAAAACGACTGGGTTAACATTATTCCAGTGTGTACTCGGATTTCAACCGCCACTCTTTCCATGGACTGGAGAGCATTCGGAAGTCCCCGCCTCTGGTTCCGTGAGAGCGAGAGGGTATGGGACTCGGCACATGTCCATCTCCAGCAGGCAGAGACTTTGCTGATGCCCGTTGTGCACCCACACCAGTTTACCAACCAGGTGATCGAGTTTGGCTCTCCACTCGGGATATTCATCTCCAGCTGCCCAGCAGGAAGCTGAGTCCCCGTTATGTCGGCCCTTTCCCTATCACAAAACAAATGAATGAGGTCACATATGAGCTCCAACTCCCAGAGACCTACCGCATCTCACCCACCTTCCATGTGTCCTTCCTAAAGCCATTCACTAATCCACTTCTCCCTCCTTCTGCAGAGCACGAGATACCTCCTCCTCCCGAGGTCAACCCCAACTATACCATCTACAGAGTCCAAGACATCCTAGACTCCCGACGGCGGGGCGGCCGGCTCCAGTGTCTTGTGGATTGGGAGGGGTACAGTCCCGAGGAGAGATCATGGGTGGACAAAGATGATATCCGTCACTCCTCTCCGACTTCCACCAGTCACACCCAGATCGTCCCACTCCTAGGGGGCGCGGTCGTCCTCACCATCGGTCACTGGGTGCCAGGAGACACCCGTGGGGGAGGGGGTACTGTCACAGATTCACCAACCACATCAGCCACACCAGCCACCTACACCCGTTCACAATCACAATTACTAATTACGAGCACCTGATGCCATTTACCTTAGCACTATATCTGTTCACTCACCTCAGCCTCTCATTGACTGGTCTCAAGGTTGCATACCTGTCCTCATGCCTTACCACACCACTCTGGATCTCCGTGGCTCTATGTCTCCCGCCGTCTTGCTGGATCTTCCTAAAGAGGATTAAGATAAGGACTGTTACTCTTCAGTTTCAAGAGCTCAAGTTATGTTTCAGTTTTAAAATTTACTGTTTGAAGCTCTCCTTCAATTTGTGTAAATAAAGAATCTCTGAATCGTTCTTCCTGTGTATGCCTCTCTATCCAGCCGTGACAAACAGGAACATAAAAGGACATAAAAATAAGTGCTACAGTATACCAGTTATACCAGTACGTACTTGGCGGTTCCAAATCAGGGCTCAAAGCTGAGGATTTTTTCTACTGGCCCGTTTGGGCCAGTGATTCAAATTATCAGTTATTCAAATCATCTAAAGGGATTTGCCAAAATCCACATTTGGCATCGAGGATACTAAAAACCTTGGCACTTGGCATGTCAGCTATGACCTGTTCAATGATTTTCAATGGATGATATGGCCTTAGGAGCGCCTTGTTAAGATGCACTGGATCTAAGCATATCCTTATAGAGCCATCTTTCTTCTTGGGAGCGACCATGACAGATACCCATTCTGTGGCATCAGTTTCAGGGGTAATGACGCCCAATTTAGTCATTCTCTCGAGCTCTGCCATGACTTTTTCCTTCATTGCAATGGGCACTTTCTTGGGAGCACATACAGTGGGCGCTACTGACTCATCTACTCTCATGTGATAAATGACAGGCAGTTTACCAAGCACTGTAGTGTCAAACAGATCACTGAATTCCCGTACCTCTGGTCCTAACTGTATACATTGCAATCCAAGCAGTGGTCTCACATTACGATCTACAACCTGGAATTTGAGTTGGCCTAGTTCACATTCTAATATAGTGGTGCCTTCAGTGTTTATATTCCATTTACCACAGTAGTTGCATTGTTTATTGAAAGCAAAACACTTGAGTAGCCTCGTGTTTCAGTTCTTTTGTGCTCTTTTCGGATTGCTCATATAACAAGCATATATTAACTGTCCAGCGTGAGCTTTTTCTCATGGAGCAGTTGTTTCCGCACACTGTTACTTTCAATCCTGCAAATGATGCGGTCACGAATCAGTTCGTCATTTAATTGTCCAAAGTCAAATTTTTTTGGCCTGCACCTTCTTCGATTTGTCTGACAGACCAGTGTTGCATATACACCATTCTTTTCAAATTGGCTCCAGTTGTCAGCTATATATAAAAAAATCAGTGGATCAATACGGCAGAGACCTTATTTATTAGTATTCATTAATTAAAGAGTATATTTATAAATATTATATTAATGCACAGAAACAGTTAAGGGTGTATGACATAATGTTATATTGCGAGATACTGATTTTATAAGGGTTGTTGTTTCCACCCCTTCTTTTATTTTCTTTCTCCTTAATCTGGTTTCACACTCCATCCCAGCAGGTGGCGGAAATTCACCTAAAGCTGGTTTGCCCACCTCCATAAAACACAAAAAAAGAAGAAAAAGACAGCATTTAAAAAGAATATTTGTAATTATCAAAGTGGATTTAGAAAAGGTAGATGTACTATGGACCCTACAGTATGTTTGGAACATGAAATACGAAGAGCTCAGGCTAATAGAGAAAGTGTAGTGGCAGTATTTTTTGACATCGAGAAAGCTTATGATATGATGTGGAAAGAAGGAGTTGTATGCCATCCGCCATTAAACACCAAGAAGAAGAAGAAGAAAAGACAGCATTTATCAATTGTATTGTGTTTTGCTGAGCTGTAGGGTGTTCCAAGAACAGCTATTCGGATTTGATGTACAGGTTAATACGGCATAAGAGAAGACTGTAATCTGACCTGAAGTCTAGTACGGGTCATAAAGCGAAAAGGTTAGTGTACTTTTTTTATGCAATGCAAAATTATAACATTGTTGTGAGCTGTTGATATTGAGCTACAGTAACTTAGCTTTCTGTTATTGAATGCAAAACTTTAGGTACTTTTATGTGCGGTAATATTATGTCAGCGTCCCTACCAGCAATTGTGCCCGCCGCTTGTAGAGCCACGGCCGCGGTAAGTCATCATCAACACAAGCACACAGCGCTCTCAATAACAGCAACATCCCTCGTATTTCGGATTTTACGTATTTATGTATTGCATGTTATTTTTTTTCTCCAGGTGATATTCCTCCATGGCCTAGGAGACACAGGGTAAACTCAACTATATCATAATTATATGGCATAACTGAATGAAGTTCGTGATAAGCCAGTTCATATTTTGTCAACTTTTACACTGTTACCTTTTTTTCAGACATGGATGGGCTGAAGCTATGGCTGGGATCAGGACACCTTATGTAAAGTACATTTGCCCTCATGCGTACGTATTGGATATTTTTTATTATAGCTATATATATATATATATATATATATATATATATATATATATATATTATATTTAAA